AGAGTTATTTTAAGGGTCTTCAGGGTATGTCCAATTACCAGTTTTCACAACTGTCCAGTTCCACTCTCCCCAAAACTCTCCAAATCTACAAACACCTTGGATTCTAGGAGAAAGACCCTTACAGACCACTCTATGATGAAATCAGCTATTCCCAAGCAGAAACAATCATCCCCAGTGGAAACCATGGCAGCTGCTCTCCTGAACAAGGATCATCTTATGGGCAGTGAATTACCCCTCAAGCCATAAGAATTCCTCTGGAGCTACTAATCCAAGACCAAGACTGAGATGTTGACTAACCATACCCGGACCCACATCTGCTGACCCATACAAGTTGGCTCCTTTTGAGAAGGCCAGCCTGAATCCCTGAGTCAGAAGGAGTACCCTCCAGTCGCTCAAGATAGAGTCCTTTTCCTGTCCTCTTTCCTTTCTAAATCTGCTTATAAATCTGCATGTGCCTTACACTGACACATTGTGAAATTCTCCATTATATAAGTCAAGAACCTACTCCGCTGGATAAGCTGAGGTCTCCATCTCCATTTTGGGGGATCTCTTTGGGCCCCATCTAATGACAGCATGAGCTCAAAGGCTCATTGTTTTGTTTATCCTTTTACTTTCAATATCAAGGATAGCAGTTGACATAAATTTTGTACCTGATATTTATTTATTGAACAAGTGAACCAATATCAGAAATACTAAGTAACTTGCAGTAGGTCTCAGCAAGTTGGTGAGGCTGGAACTCAGAATATTTAAGTGACTAGGTAGATGTTGATGCAATTAGTAAACTAGGGAGTAAAGAGGAAGTAGGGGGCAAGGATGCTGTCTTAGTCACTTTTCTCATTGCTGACACAAAGTACCCAACACCCAAAGTTAAAGGGGGAAAGGCTTATTTCATTTCCATTTGTAGAGGTTTCAGTCCATCGTCAGTTGGTTCCAAGGCAGGGCAGCATGGCAGAGAGGCATCAAAGAGGAAAAACGGCCCAAGGCAAAGCAGCAGCAGCAAGCCTGCCCTCTTTCGGTCCCTTTATATTCCGTCCAGGCTACAAGTCTGTCGATTGGTGCCACCCACACACCTTACCCAAGGTGGGGCTTTCATTATCCACACCCTTAATCCTAGTATCACACTCTTTTTTTGTTTTGTTTTGTTTTTTGTTTTTTTGGTACCACGAATCGAACTCACGACCTTGCGCTTTCCAGGCAGGTGCTGTGCCGCTGAGCTAAATCCCAGCCCCCCAGTATCACACTCTTAATCCACATTCATACACCCTAAATCCAGCCACCTCTGAAATGTCCCACCTATGGCTGCGGAGGCTTTTAAGGGACATTCGATACCAGCCAAAACAGATGTTGAAATCAGTTTTGTTTTGTAAGTTAAGGGTTCAACTCTGTACTCCACTCTGGCCTTGAACTCATTATGTAGCCCAGCCTGGCCTAGAATTCACAATGATCCTCCTGTTTTAGCCTTCTGGGTGCTGGGATTACAGGTGTGTGCCATCGTGCCAAGCTGAGATCCGTTTTGGACACGGGAGTATGAGGTCGTTGTAGAGCATCCAGTGCAGGTATCACTCACTGGTTCAGAACTTCACCTAGTCCTTTACCAAAAATATTCACTCATTTGACTTTCAAGTACTATGATAGTGTAGGATTGTTCCCCTCCTCACTTAGCCACTAAGGCTGAGTCTCTTAATCATTAATATGAATGTAAGCCGCATGGGGACTTTAACTGAAATACAAGGTTCTGAAGTAGAAGGCGTGTAGTGTGATAAGGCTGCATTTCTGCATTGCAACACATTCCTATGCTATGCAAAGCTACTTATTCTCCACTGTGCTTTGAGTTCGGTGGGGGGGCACTATAAAACGGTGGAAATGGCTTTAACCACTAGGTAGAAGGCTTTTTTTCTTTTCTATTATTAGTAAAATTTCTCAATCCTTAAAATATATGGAGAATGGTCAGCTTGCAAAATTATTTTTCAAATAACTTTCTTCTGAAACTATTTTTGTACTTTAAAATACTTTTGTTTTAAATGTTGTTTGAAATGTGATTTAGCCTTTAACTGATAAACTTCAAAGTAAATTTTCTCTTAATTTTAATAGTGATCCTGTACACTACTACTAAGTCTGTAATTTAATTTTATTTATTTATTGAGACAGGATCTTGCTGTGTATTCCAGGCTGGCCTTGAACTCACTATGGAGCCTTGGGTGACCTTGAACTTGCGGCAACCCTTCTGCATCAGCTTCCTAAACACAGTTCTGGGATTATAGGTGTGAGTTACCATGCTCGGCCAGTACTTTAAAGAGGTTTGTTAAATTTAGCCTTATGCTGAAAATTTCAGGTTAAGGTTGGCAGCTGTTAGAAATAACGCAGTAGACATGCAGGTTCTGGAAGTACTGAAGGTAAATTCAGGACATTTTGAAACACTCAAGCACTTAGGAAAAGTACCAATTGTAAAAGAGTGACCTATTTCAAGACTAGGTATAGGCACAGCTATTCTTATACTGAAACCCAGAGATCTGCTCCATCTAACGAAAGATTTTAATCTGCAGCATTAGCTTTTCTTAGATACTATTAGGTTAATTTGAAACTGAATGAATTAATTTTACACTGAATGAAGCACTTAGGTATCATCGTAGGTATTATCTGTAATGCACCTTCCGTATTGTGATAGTCTGATAAAGATTTCTTATTATTTTTTCTATCATTCTTCCATTCAAAATATATTTATAGGATTTGTTATGGTTCTAGTAACTGTGAATTACACAAAGATACTGGGCTTGTGAGACTTAAACTATGTGGGAAGCTAAAAAAGAAAATAATGATAACAATAATTAGGGAGTGATTGGTATGGGGGTGGCTATATACTGGCCAGTCTGGAAAGCTTTCTGTGGAATGTTATTTTTGAGTAGAAACATGAGTAAAACAAGTAGTAATTATGCTACTTGAAGAAAAAAGGGACAGTGAAAATGCCACACGTGAAGAATGAATTTAATAAACTGAAGAGAGATCCAGACTACTGAGCATGTGGCATAAAGGATGCGGAAGATAAAGACAGAATTCTGAAAACTAAAGCAGGGAGTCTAGATTATATTCTCAGTGCTATTACAAAGGTTAAGGTTTGAAGACGTGGTGGCGGCTCATGCCTGTAATCCCAGCACTTAATGAGCCTGAACTAGAGTGAGACCCTATCTGAAAAAAACAAACAACAAAAATTAAGGTTTGAATAAGAAAATTATATGATCTTATTCTCGCCTGTTAAATTCTCCCCTGTTCTTGGGTTAACAAATTCATGGCTGTTGTTAGAGGGCCAGTTTAAGTATTATACTTAATACTTATTATACTTACATAATATACTCTATTATACACTTCTGCAGTGCTGGGGCAGGGATTTCTACCTTTCTTAGGAGCTGCTTCTCTCTTGGCTCTGTTTGAGCCAAAAATGAGTCTTAAGCTACCAGATGATGCTCAAGCACTGGCCTGGACTAGACAGTCAGGGAGTCGAAGGACTTACCAGGAGAGTCTCTATCCAGTGACCAGCTTCAGATTTGGGGGATCTTTTCTAGTCTTATACTTGTATTCAGTCTGGGTCAGTCACCAGATTTTCTTTCTTAAATAGAATGTAAGTATTTTTTTTAAGAGCGAGTTTTAAAGGTCATGAAAGCTAAATTCGTGTTGAGGTAGCATTGTCTCCTGAATATCCCAGGGCCAGGGTCAGAAGTCCCAGGGCACTGTTGTGGCATACTGTTAAGTAACACGTATCAGTATTCTTAGGTTCCACATCCATGGATTCAACCAACCACTGACTGAAAACGTTTAAATTATGTCTATATTGAACTTTTCCTTGTCATTTTCTAAACAGTATAACAACTATTAACTAGCATTTATATTGTTTACAAATAATGTAGAAATGGTTTAAAGTATACAGGTGAATTGGCGCAGGTTGTATTTAAACGGTATCCTATGTCCATTTTGTGTAAGGAACTTGAGCAACCTCAAATTTTTATGTCTGTGTCTTGTTGGAACCGACCACTCACTGGATACTTGGGGACAACCACACTACACTGGAATTTATATGAAGATCTAATGTTATGGGTGATTCACTGTAACTTCCCAATGAATAATTTATTTAAAAGTTACTACAGTCCTTGAGACGAACACACGCACAGCAAACTGTACCAATGAGTTTTAAATTATTCCTAAAGGGACCAATGCATCAAATTCTCATAAGAAACCAGAAAATTCTGACTCCTTCCTCTTCCTAAGAACTTTTTGCTTGCCCTCTTGACAATCTAGATTGAAATTTTCCCAGGTTAAGCTAATGTATTTTACTGGCACCCCGTTACTTCTATGAAGCAGCGCCAAATATGATATAAAGTCACCATATCAGCACGCGGCAACATTCAACCATTACTCTCCTTCACCGTGTTTAGGAGAAAGCAAACGGAACAGCTGATGTTTTCCTACTTTTTTAGATGATTTGTAAATGCATTTTTTTTTTTTTTTGACTTTTTGAGACAGGGTCTCTCTATGCAGCTCAGGCTGGCCTTGAGCTCCCTTTGTAGCGCAGGCTGGTCTCAAACTTGCAAGGATCGTCCTGCCTCAGCCTCCCGAGAGCTGGGATTACAGGCGTGCGCCACCACGCCTAGCTTCGTAAATGCACTTTCTATCCATCGGTCCGTGAATTTAAGTTCACCTAACTTCAAGGAAAGTACTAGAAGTAACTTTTTGAAGACTTTTTGGCTTAAGATTCTAACACACAGAACCTAGAACGCTTCGGGCATCTCCCCTGTCCTCGGGCGGGTCCAGTAACACTGGCTCAGACTCATCTATAGAAGACCGCGGCTCTCTGACTTCAGGATGAGTCTGGTTCCCAGGCAGTAACCAAGAGGGCGGATTTACGGCCTCCGGAAGCCGGCTTTCGACAGGTCCCGCGCTCCGCCCCGCCCACTGGGGGCGCCGTCGCGCCGTCGCGCCGCGTTACGTCACACGCTCTCCCGGAAGTGCCGCCGAGCAGCGCCGGGGGCGTGTCTCGAGCCCTCCGCGTGTGCTCACCTGTAAACGCGGGAGGTTTGGCTCAGAAGCTGTGGCGCCCGCCGCGTAGGCGGCTTTCCCTTCTCCGGCGAGAGCAGTGAGCTTCTCGGGGGCCCAGAACCGTGAGGCAGTGTCGGACTCCGGCGCGGCTCGATGGAGGTGGTGGAGGCCGCCGCTGCGCAGCTGGAAACCCTCAAGTTCTGTGGCGCCGGCTTTGGGGTTGGCGAGAGTCCGCCGGGGCCGGGGCCGCGGGCGAGCGAGGGGTGCCCGGAGAGGGAGCAGGCCGTCGGGCCCCAGCCGGCCCTGAGCGCCGAG